ATATATATATATATATTCAGTACTTTCTTATTATACTATTTTTAACTTGGTACATTTCAACACTCCGGCTAAAAATAAGCAGATATATTCCTTTGCTTCACTTTATTAAATAGCTTGGAAAACTGAAGTGGATCCTAAATCTCAATAAATTTATTTGTCAAAACTAGAAACTTAAGAAGAAATACTCCTCTTGAAATCACCGCATCTTGAATAATGTATAAATCAATATCAATGAGTTTTGTTCTTTCATAAAATACAAAATCAGTAGCCAAATAGATAATAACACAATTTTTATAGTTTAAAATTATAGTTAAGCAACCATAAAAGCAACTTTATCGCACATGTAAAGTGTGTTATAACTCAGTTTCTTCCTCAATTCTTAGAAGTTAGCATGTGCTGATTCACAACCTCTACATCAAAGACATAATGTTCTTGGAAAAAAAAAAAGGATAAATTTTTCAACCAAGCGCCGATGGGAGGGTCAATAAGTCTACAACCTAATATAGAAGTTTCTTCAAGAAGGTCAGTGGCACATTTATTTTACGATAGGGGAACTTCTCTAAAAAAAAATTATTCCATTATGACAGCTCCTAGAAAGAATACCCATCAATTAGATTGTCAAAACAATAAAATCATACGAAAGATGATCGAAGAAGACGAAGTGATATGTTGTGATGCTGCAAAAGCGAACATTAACAAGAAAATTACAAAACTTATCGAAACAAGCATGTACGCATTAATTGCTTCCATATATGGTCTTGTTAACTTTGTATATTACAATCACATTTTCATATACGACATTGTGTCTCATTGTCTTCTACTTGATTTAAGAAAAAAAATAATATTACAAATAGGTTCTTATTTATTAGTAATGTTAATGCAGAAGAGCAAGTAATGAAAAAGAAAAAAATTAGTTTGCTTTTAAATATAAATATAGACCAACATATAATTTTTTTTTTCCTTTTTTCACTTGGCTATCCATTACGTTAGTGCCTAGCCTAAGGATAATTTTGTATTTTGTGCACCTAAGGACAATCTAGTCTTTTGCCATTCATTATTGTATAGTACAAATAGAGATGATATGTTTAGGAGGTGGATGAGCTTGGGTTTTGAGTCTTAGGGTTAGGGTTTTGAAGAGATTTCCTACCACTCGAATAGTAGGAATTGATAGAGATCGCCTACCTCTTGAATTGTAGGTGCTTATCTTTATATTTGTCTTAAGTGTTAGATGTTTTTGCAATAAAATATTATTTAGCCTAAGTTATGTGTGGAAATCTATGCCAGTTTTTATCACCATCGCAAGAAAATTAAGAACACAAAATCCACACACAACTTGCATATGTCACATTGCAACTATATTAACTAACATTCTACAAAATAGGAGATTATCTAATCGCTGATATTACAACAATAAACCTTCATAAAATTTTAAAAAACACATGATTTGTAAAAAAGTTAATCTTAGGCATAACTAAGTTGTGTTGAAGACCTAATCCCATTAATCAATCTAATATCAATCCCTAGCTAAATTTAACTTTATTAAGAGATAAATCCATATTAAAGCATGATTAATTGACGATTATTAACACAAACTCACCTACCCATAAAAATCAAATTAAATAATATCAAAAAAATAATATTGCCTCCTACCTAAAATATTATGTAACTAGTATAACTTAAAGAGCAACTTATTAAAACATGCATTTCAAAAGCACAAAATAGCGCACGCTGAGCATAGCATGGTGTGTAGCACTGTTCACACCATTTCTGTGGCAAAGCACAGGAAGTTAAAATAGGAATAATTACCCGTGCCATGAATGAAAATAACAAATAACACATGTTATTTTGATTAAGGATTGAAATTGACTTTAATATAATGGATAGATTATTCATTAATTTTATTTTTGAACTAATTAGTTTATTGTAGCAAGAAAGTGCAAGCTCTCTAATTAAGTCTCCTCCCCTCGACGAGCTCATTGCTCCTACTGTCAAAGGGCTTCAAACCATAACTCACCAAACCCCACTGCGGCAACATCTGGTGCGCTTTCACAGCCGCTAGTCTTGCATCTCATTTTTGAAGTGCGTTGACGCATGTTTCAATCTCGTATCATGCCAATCACCTCATTGTTGACACCTCATTGTTGAAGATATTCATGCAAGTCTCTCATTAATTTGTCATTCTGTAAGCAGCTTCAAGCCTTCGACAACCTCAATTTCAAAGGGCATGGAGCCTTCAACACACTCATTTGTAAGACAAACAGCTTCGAGCCTTCAACCCACTTGCTTGTTCAATAAGCAGCTTTGAGTCCACCTACTTCTAACTAGAAAAGAAAATTTCTTATGAGCAAGTAAGCCTTCAATGCCCCCACGTAAATAATCAGTTCTTTTAGTAAAAAGAACTTCTTCCGTTTGTGAGGTTATTAAAGTATAGTTATCTTTGCCATAGTTGCAACACTTGCGAGCAATTACTGTTGAACCTCAAATATTTTGCATGCTAAATATCCCTTTTACTGTGACAATAAGTTCCAAGAGCAAAATGGGTTGTTTGAGATCCTTATTTGATATAGGATAATTTAGATTGCAGTTGCATAACTATAATGTCATTTTTACTTTTATTTTTGCATGCATTTATATTCATATGGATGCACTTGCTAGATATTTACAAGAAGATGTACATTGTTGTTTGTTTATTGTTGATGATATTATTCTTGAATTATTCCAATAAGACTAGAGAGAAAGTTCAGAAAAAAAAAACTTGAATTATGGAGGTCAACTTTAGAGTTTAGATGCTTCCTTGAGCAAATCTAAAACGGAATACATG